TTTTTAATTTTTTCATTTTATTTTTTTATTTATTATGTACACAAAATAGTTTCTCGAAATTGTAAAATAAAATAATTTATTTACGAAAGAAAAGTGGGCGAATCATGTTATTTTTGTATATTGTTGTTTTTTTGTTTTAGATCATAGACTATAACTTAAAAGCTGTACACTTGCAACCACAGTAAACATTTCTCTTGATTTCAATTAAGTAATATCGTAAAAAAGAACCAAATATTTTATTTTAAGTGTGAAAAAGTCATTCATGATTGATAAATAAGTTCAAATCGCATTATCATGAGGTTGTCGCAAGCGGTGCGCATGCGCATGTCACGATCAAAGACAATAAAACTTGTGATTATAACGGCGCCGAACTGATTAATGTTTTAGATGCAAGTCTAAGTGACAACGAGGGTCACTTTGAGCACCTACTTAAAGTAATTGAGGATCAATCACAATTCAAAATAAACATCGCAACTTTTTTATCCCCGAAGGGTTTAACTGTGGTCCATTTTAAATCCCCGTAGGTTTTTAATTTATTTATTCCCCGGTTAACGATTTTCTCTTGTTTCGTGAGTGCGTTTACAAACATACAAGTTCACATCCACACGATACCCGCCAGATCTGAAACAAAAATTTGTAACTACACTACGTTGCAACCTTCTATAAATGTTCTGTAGTTGATATTGCTACCATGCAGGTTTAGCAGTGATCTACATGTTTCATATTAAAGGTAATTATGCAATTTATGACTTATGTACTTAATTTCGTGTTCCGGTACCTACCTAATATCGTCATTTTAGTTTCTCTACTTCATTTTTATTAATACTCTTAAATTCTGTCAGTTAAGCGTCAAAGAAATCGACTGTATCACTGTCAACTGTCACCACTACTTAATTATTTTTTTTAAGGGGGGAAAATCATCGAATTACTTCTTCCACCTGGGTGAGGCGGGAGGGAGTGTCAGACTCTTACTGACTAAAAACTACCCCGTTCCTACTCCTGCACTTCGAGCCGGGTATCTCCGGTACCCCCTAGGTTCTCCGCGACTCCGAATCGGCATCAGCCCTATTGGGCCCCATCCGTGGTGGTCTGATGACTCTTTGAGGCGCGCGCGGAACGTGACGCGCCGTACGCTCGGGTGATTTCCATATCCTACTGCCTAATTAGCTTTTGGCATAGAGATTTTGCAAGAATAAGTGCGTAAGTTCTTAGGATATACGAATTATGTCACCATTTTAGTTTTTATTAGAGCATGGTCAACATCACAAGTAAACATCTATGGAAAGTATGTCATTTGGAGTCAGTGGGCGTCGGTCAGAGACACCGTACTTATATGTCAATCTTTACAACCACTGATATGGTCTAGGAGGCTAATATGGAACTGTTCATATTTTTCAACCGGAACTACTTGCTAGCAATGTGATCTCATGTTTTTCTGCGAAGGGGTAGGCAGATCTGTCCGTTTAATGGGTATTCTTCTATTATATTCGCCATGAGAAGAAATATTGGACACAAATCTATTATTAACTATTGTTTACTAAGATTGTGAAGAAGCTGAGGACTTTGCAATTTGGAAAATTAGACATCACTCAAACAAACATTTGAAAATGTGGTAGCCTGTTATAAGGAGTCTGAGTGTTGGAAGGATAGCATTATAAGATCGACAACACTTTACAAATGATCACTGAATCTGTAGTAATCGATTACCTCACATTAACGTGACAAAGATACAATCAATTATTGACCAACCAGAATTACTCATTATTTTACAAATTGCCTAGCCTAACTTTGGTAGAATTTTCCCCATTTACTTTCTCCCTATATCAGGGTCTTCATTAACGAGGAATCAACTTAGACACCCCGTTTCAATCATCCCAAATTGCACAAACTGTTTGATCAATATTGCAATAAAGAGCATTCGTGATCCATCTCCTTTGAAGTGGTGATTTAGATTCCCCATTCAGTTGAACAACCACTATCTAACAATTTAAGTACTTGTCAGTCACTAGAGTGGTGCCTGCGCGTCCACGCGCCTGTCAACCCGTCAATAGAGTTGCCCAACGATTCTCGTTAGCCGATTATTATCGATACCGGCCCAGTGGGTTTGTGATGAAACTGTCGAGTATCGATTCAAGGTCAATGTGAAGCTTTGTTCTAATTATTATAAGTCGTGTTGGTGTTGTGAAATGGATTTAAGTAGATCCTGGTTCTGACTGAGCTGTGGTCAGTTAGATGGGGTGCAAGAAAAATTATAGTTTTGGGCTCTGCACAGTTTTTCTTTTACAGCTCCAAGATTGTGTTATCACTGTATTTTGTTTCTGCAAATATTTTTGAGTAGGTATTTTTCTTCTAGTTCATTTGAATAACACGTTTGCTTTTTAAGTTGCATGGTTGTATCTTTGATGGAGATATTTTTGTCTGTCAAATCACGGCGATCGCCTAGGTCTCGGTGCAAAACTATGTGGTAGATTTCTCTACTCCGTAAACTGCCGTAAAGAATTAAAACTTGATGTTATTTTAAGCCTGCCTCGTTGGCTAAGTGGTCGCTAGTGCGGCAAGGGGTCTCGGGTTAAATTCCCAGGTCGGGAAAAGTACTACTGGCTAAAAAATACTAAATAGGTAGGTAGGTCAGTAAAAAAGCTGCCTCGTTGGCCGAGTGGTCGCAAGTGCGACTGCTGGGCTAGGGGTCTCGGGTTCGATTCTCGAGTTTGTGGAAAGTATTACTGGGTCTTTTAAAATTTCTCAGTGGTAGCACAGAGTGGAATTGTGCCCGGTATATGGCAATAGGCTCACCCCCTATTACATGGGACTCATAATATAAATAATGAAAAGTGGGTGTTACATTGTACACTGGCATGAAGTGTTATAATATGCACCTCTGCCTATCCTTTCGGGGATAAAAGGCGTGATGTTATTTATATTATTATATTTTGTTATTTTAACTTAAATATCTACTTGACTAAAGTTACGCACCGCAAAAAAAGAATGGTACAAGTATAAAACATAAACAAATTACTTTATTACAAAAAAAAATACACTTTCCCTTTTCATAAAATAACATATGACGTTTGTAACAAAATGTTATAACATAAAGTATTATTCAACTATGACCATATTGAATAAGGATACGCCATTTTGGATCGGCCGCATCATTTACCCTTATTAGCAATGCATAATGGACAACTTTCCTTCTTGTGGATGAGAGAAATTTTGAAAGATTCGCATTTTGTGTTTGTAGCTTTGCGAGAATACACTGTTATGTGAGTGCCATAAGGATACAAGACAGTGAGTGTTATAATATTTATTATTGTTTTATTATGTCTTTTGGTAATTGTTTTTTTGTTTCATTGTGTCTTATTTCTATAACAAGTGATTAATAATGAAGTGATGGATTGCTTACTAGTTAATTACTAATCAGAATTTTTAATATTTAATTACAATATAGTAGATAATAGACGGCCTCATTCGAAAGCTCGCAAGATCGCAAGTGTGGTTGCCAGGCAATGGGTCTCGGGTTCGATTCCCGGGGTCGGGCAAAATTTTACTGAGCTTATTTTGAAATTCTCAGTAGTAGCACGGAGTCTAGAATTGTGCCTGGTATATGGCCATAGTCTCACCCCTAGCATAAGACTCATAACATAAATAGTAAAAAGTTGGTGTGCAGGACCCATTTAGCCCAGTGGCATTAAGTGCCGTAATATGCTCCTCTGCATACCACGTCGGGGATAAAAAAGGCGAGATGTTATGTTATGTGATTTTTAATATTTTTCATCATTATTTTTGGTGATTAATTATTACCCAGTTTCGGTGGACACTGGTCCACTACTGGGTCGTAAGCACGTTTGTTGTTACCGTGGTTTCAAACTTGATTTTCAGGTTTACCTACTATTTTATTAATTAACATTATGCAATTTCTAGATAATATTTACAATTTATTTTATATAGTTTAAAAAAAATTAATGTCATAGTACCTACCTATACTGAGAAATTAAGAAGTTTATATCTGAGTTTCTTCTCAGGGTAACGAACTCATATACTTAATTCTATTTTGCAAATATGTTTTTTGATTTTCGATCACCATTAATACTGCTAAGGTTTTAGTAGGTATATTACCTACTAAAATTTTAAGCTTAAGTGTCACAAATAAAAAAAAACCTATTAAATATATCGCTCTATTTAAAACTAGGGAATTTATTTACTTGAATGAAGTAATTCGTATTTTTTTAGTCACAATCAAGCCTAATTTAAAAAGAAACTGCACCCTATAAAAATATGCAAAGAACAGAGAAACAGAAATAAAGCAAGATATATAATTATACAATTTCATGCTAATTATCCTTTTTATCATTTTAGAAAATCATATAAACCAATAAAATAATAAAGAAACATATAATTTAAAATTCATAAAAATGCATTTTACATAACCGACTGTCAAATTAATGGTCATACCAAACTTGTAATAAAACAACATAACATAACATCACACCTTTTATCCCCGAAGCGGTAGGCAGAGGTGCACATTATGCCACTGTACAATGTAACACCCACTTTTCACTATTTATGTTGTGAGTCCCATGTAGGGGATGAGCCTATTGCCATATACCGGGTACAATTCCAGACTCCGTGCTACTACTGAGATATTTTTTTAAATCCAGTAATACTTTGCCCGACCCGGGAAACGAACCCGAGACCCCTGGCCCGGCATTCGCACTCGACCAACGAGGCAGTCAAGTTTGAAGAAGTCAAGTTTTGTGTTTCTAATAAAATACAACTAGTTAATATAAGTAGCGGAAGTCTTTTGAAATTTTTTATTAAATTATGAAAATAATTGGTCGAACGCCTGACGGAAATATCATAGCAAGTTTTCAAATAACTAATTTGCATTCAATATTTCCGGTGTCTTCAAAGTGACATAAATAATAATAATATTTTACAAATATTACATAACTGTATGATTAATTACCTAATACCACGTATTTATTACTTTCAGATTAGAAAATATGAGAATTAACATATTAAGCAGTATTATTTTCATTTTATTGGCGAACGACGCACGCGCAGATGTGCAGACGATACAAAACAGTTTAATTACGACTTACGATCCTGGGGCACCTTCGTAAGTATTTAATTGAATAATTATACATTAACTGATACCAGTGTTAAAAGTACCTTTAACCGACGAGTATGTACCTCTATGAAGAGACTGATGACTGTTGAGGAAACGAAAGAGGTATGTAAGACGTCTCTTCCTACCTCCATGGGAAAAAGGTGAGAAGTTATGTATGTTAAACATGGTTTATTTAGGTTGAGTAATTTTTTTTCATTATATTTTGGTAGTTAAAGCAATTATAACTTATCGGAGCATATTCATGTAAGTATAAAGATCAAACAATAAACTCAAAGCACGTTCATCTTTTTAAATTTAAGTTTGTCTTATTACAGGGCAGTTGGACCTAATTATGGACGAATTAGCCGCAGTGATAAACCACCAGACCGACCCATCAAATTCGAAGATAGTACTAAAGAACAAGAACAAATTGATATAGATAAAGTTGACCCAAGTTTACTTCTAGCAGATGTATCATTTGATAATGAAGAAGACCTTAATAATAATGACCGCATTTCTAACAACGGAAGACATGATAGTGAAAATACAGATAAAAAGATTAAATTTGAAGAGAATGATGATATTAATGATGATGCTGATGATGCAGACAATGATCAAGAAGATGATGATTCTCCGAGAGGAACAAGTCAAGTAGTATTTGAAGATGACGGTCAAAATGAAAATGATTCTCCATACGCTGATGATTCTGAGAGAGAAGAAGAAACAGTTGATAAACCGATTAAATTTGAAAATCAAGAGTCTAACACCAATACTAAAAACCAAGAAATTGTTACTGAACGAGTAGCTTTCATAGATGATAGTAATCAGAAGCGAGAACCAGTGCGAAAGAAAACTAGAAAATCTAGAAGACCTCGATACCAAACAAAGCAACCCAATCAAGCTCCAACAGGACCAAATCCACCTTATCCTGGTTACCCAAGTTATCCAGGAGCAGGGTACCCCAGTCCTGGCTATCCAGTCCCTAGTGACCCAAATACCGGATACCCAGGTTACCCTTTACCGGCTTATCCAACTCCGGGCTATCCTTATCCTGGTTATCCCACTCCGTACCCAGGAGCACCACTTCCAACTCCTCTATATCCAGGTGGAGCATTTCCAACTCCTGCATATCCTGGGTATCCAACTCCTGCATATCCAGCCTATCATTATCCACCAATCAATCCAGGGTATGGTGGACATCCGCCGCTAGGATATCAGCCTCAATATCCAGAAAATCAAAGACCTCAATCAAATCCTATAGCCTACCCAACTCCTGCTACAGGAGACCAAAGTGGACAACCTGATTCGAGATATCCCACTGCAGAATATTCTAACCTTGGATCATCAATTGGACCGTCACAAAATGGACAACTAGGATTCCCAAATCCTACTCCAGATTATCCGTACTACCAGGGTTATTCAGTTCCTGGATTTGCTCAAGGCTACCCAGGTGATGCTAATGGGCATCAGCCTGGCTATAGACCAGGGTATGGGTATCTTGGAGTTAACCAGCCTGGATACCAAAATGGAAATGGAAGTAAGTTCAGTTCAGTTCAATTTATCTTAAAAAAAATATGTTCCTTGAGAATACTTTGGTACTGCACCTTTGTTACGGTTCTCTAGTTTGAAAACGCATTATTTTAGTTTCGCCTTTGGAATTCGAAAAGTGGAAAAGAATACAAAATTGATCAAAACTGACATAATTTTCACCCTACATATCCGTTTAACAAGAAAACACAATATACTTATTACTTATTAGTCACTATTTAGCGTTAATCCAGCCAAAAAATCGCAGAGATCTTAGTGAAGCTTTTGTACCACAACAATGCGTCCATTTGCTCACGTTAGTGCCAGCATGAGGTCGCGGTCAACAGGCAGACTTGATAGAAACAATACAAAGGTGAGAGGTCCAAGCGACCCGGTGACTAAGTCAGCCAGCTTGCATAGATGTCGCCACGTGATAAAGCAGATCGTGTTATTGGAAATCTGATTGTAATTGATACTGGTATTAATTTTTTAGATTTAAAAATGTAGTAAAGATGAATTAGGAATGACGGGAAACAATAATTCGTGATACGTTTCCATTTAATTTCAGTGACAGTTTATACTAAACATTAGGTATCTACATCAAAATTTCAAAGAGTCAAATAGACGTGTCCAACCTTGATCTACAAATCTAGGTACATACATAATATCTACATAACCATAATCCATCACCAATGTCCAGCCTGCAGTAATCGAACAATACAAACCAAGCTTAGTATTGATTGGTTTTTTATGAAACGTAAACAAAAGATCGATCATTGTGAAGTTCAATAACAAGGGTTCAAGGACAATGATGATCGCGTACAAATAATACAGACCATTATTCTGTGGTCCAATTGATGGGCTAAATTAAATTGGAGGCATTGTTACGCCTACACCAACAATTAAATTTAAATGACCAGTTGAAAACATGAAAAAAAATGGTGGTACATTTTGATTGCGAATAGCGTCGTCCTTATGAGTTGTTGTGTTTAAGGTATTCATTATAAAAACCTGCTTGAATGGTCAAGCTAAGATTGTGGTGGTAAATGAGGGATCGTTATAAATGCGTTTAAGATTAAAATAAATTAAGCCGTGATAAGTATTACTACGACTCAAAGATAAACCTTTATTTTTCATTTATTTCTTGGCCTCACATCGAATCGATTTAACAACATCAAGAGGGTTTCATTCAATTGTTGATTATAGAATCCATCCCGCTACATTTACTATTTTATTAGAAGAAAAAATACTGATTAACTACTGAACTAGAGTACCCTCTCTGTTTGAATTAGAACATTAGTTACTTATACGTGAAGAAATTGACACAACATTTAAACCAATTTACAATTCATTACTAATTATAACCATTTTGAAAGGACCGTCTCGCCGCCCGAAGTCGTTGACCCAGCGAGCAGTGTCAGCAGTAGCCGAAGCCTTGACCTCGATAGCATTGTATGATGACCAGCAGTGCGTGCCCAAGATACTCTGTGAAGTGGCTGGAGGTAGCAAAGCGGTGTCATCACCAGCACTCCTCAAGGCGACTGAGAGTTTGCAGCCTTTGTTAACGTAAGTACCTGTACAATGTGTAAAAGAAACTTTCGTTAAGTTTTTGTGCGATAGACTACGTTATATTAAAATTTTATATATCACTCACTGTATTTCGGTATGTGCTGTACCTATCCAGACATTAAAAACGAATTACTAACTAGTTTCAAATAGTATGACATAAAAATACATGTGTGTAGTATTCTTAGTTGCTCGTTGCATGGTTTCAGGTTGCTTGCTGCATATAACGGGCTTAGTTCATCTCCTCTCTTCTTGTTCGGTCGGGCTGCTGTCACAGGAATGACTGCAAAAGGCGATCCTTCGGCTTGCCAGCGCACTTATCCACAATGTCCAACTGACCCTGAAAAACTGGTTCACTATCTCAACAACCACAATGGAGGTTTCTTCAGATTCTTCGGGCAACCAGAACAGTCCCAGCAACCACAGAACTTAGAACAATTCTACAATTACTTATCTGGTCAATATGGTTTACAGCAACAATCACAACTACAACAAAATTACGGATTTCTAAGACCGTACGGTCAAGGTTATGGATACCCTAATCAGAGTCCTTACACTAATCCCCAAAACTATGCTCAAAATTATTATCAACAAAATAGATACAGAAATGGAAAAGAAGAAACTGCGGAAAGTGAAATACAGGAGCGTATACAAAACAAACCAGCAATTAATGTCTTAGAAGATGAAAACGATCAAGGTATTAATGCTAGTCAAGATAATGGGTCCAAATGGTCTTTCCCTGAAGATGTTAATGCGAAAAAGGGTTATAAAAGAGAGCAAATTAGGATACACAAAGAAATAGAAAGACCTACAAGAGGAAGTAAAACACTAAAATTCCCTGACGACAGATCAGATGATAGAAGAGAAATATTTAGAATAAAACATTTTCCAAGAGCAGAAAAGCAAGTATACTTTCCTGGACATAACAATTTTCAATTATATCCCAACTACCAATCTACTACACCGGTCAGTTTAGAGGAATATGTTTTTGACCATAAACATAATTTCTACGTGAAAAGACCTAAAGCTATGAAAGTGGAAGATGTGAAGGTGGTGTATGTTGTGAGAGGGAACGGAGATCCTAATCATCCAGAAGTCGTCAGAATAAGACCTGGACAGAGTATTACGAAATGAAAATACAATAATAGTTAAGTTATTAATTCTATTGTAAGTTTTAGATGTGTAAAAAGTTTTCGATAATTACCGTGACCTGTGTTTGTTTCATTAGAGTAGTGTAAAAACTAATTAAATTATATTAATTTATTGTTTTTGGTGTTCGTTTTAATATAATTTGTTCTTTATGTTTATAACAGCCGATTTTTCAATCAAAAGATAATTCTAACTGTAGAATGTGATTGACGTTTGACACTTTTCAGTATGGAAGAATTGTCAAATATTCAAAGTAAATAATTTCTCTGATAAAATTTAAGAGAAGTATTAAACACCGACCCTTAGCTGTATCCAATAGGCAATAACCCAGTTCGTTAATTAAAATTTCATAAAATAATTCAACTCTATTCTTAAGATACTCACCATTTCTACTAACTTTTATCTTTAATACAATTAATTTGCAGCAGTCCTAGTTTTAATAAGGCTTTGATCATGCGATCATTTTTGCATCAATTGGTATATAACCATTAACAATGATTATTCCCACTTTCACTATGAAGACACAGATCTTTTTATACGGTAATAGACCAACACAACCAGATTCTTTCAAACAAGGGCCTACACCAATAATTTGGACACCACCCTTCATTGCAATTACAGTGTAACATGGCAGTACCAGACAATATACGGCAATTAATGTACCGGCCTTAACTTTATTTTTGCACTTCAGATCATTCACCTTATTACATGTTAAGATCCCATTTATATCATACGATACGATTTTATTATCTGATTGTTTTATTTTAAATGGTATTGCGTGACTAGTAACTATTACTTGTCTATTGTTTAAACTTTTTGGATTTATGTTTGAACTGGCTATTGTGTCAATCATGGAATTGATGAGTTTGTCGAATTTTCTAGAAGGTTTTTTTTTATTGAATCACTGGTTCGTTATTAAACACGAATTTGATGGTAACGCCTAAGATGGAAGATTATTCAGCTAGGTAGATCGAACTTCGACAAAGAGGTCGTCCGAAGAATCCAACTCTGATGGGCAGCATTCGGGAAGTTACGCGAAATCTTCTCATCGAAAATCTCTCAGTGCCACGTGGCTCAACTGACTGACGGTAGATGGACCGGAAAAGTGAAAAACCTTGAGTGGAGACCACGGACCGAAAGACAAAGCGTGGGCAGGCGGCCTCCTGCTATGTGGACCGACGATATCGCTAGAGTTGCGGAAAGCCAGGTGGCGAGTTGTCGTTCGACGTGGAGGATTAAGAGGAGGCCTTTGTCCAGCAGTGGAACAGTCTTTCGGCTGTTGATGACGATGATGATGATGCTTTAGGCTGTAAAACTTAGGGCTTAGGTTTGCTAAGCCTAAGTTAGGTTTATAATAATAAAGTGTGGTTCTAATATTTGGTTTTCAGTTTCTAAATTTATAGTAGAAATTAGTTTGTTTATCTATAACTCACTCGTACAATTAATCATTTTGTTTCACAGTGGCTTAAAATGAGACTGAAAACTAAGAAATAATTTAATTATGATAATCTTCGTGTTACCTAAGAAGGACTTCGCTAAGCCAACAAATAATGAGCAGTTACTCAGCCCAGCTGATCGGAATGTAATTATACAGAGGAGCCTATGTGTACAAGGAAGCAGTAAATGAATGCGCAATTAACGGATACGGACAAGGTCGCGCCATTAAACTAGTCTAATGCCTATATTACTGCATAGCTAAAACCGCACATCACATACTCCAATATGTCAAACTTAATGGATTTTCAATCTTATCACTTTATGATACAGGTGGTAATGTAATAAAGATTTTTGAAACAAAGGGATAGCTTTATGTGCGAATGTCTAATTTAATTGTTGTTGTAATTTGTATTAAGTAGGATAGAACCATCTGATAATTTATGTTTTCCTTTTATAGTGTAAAGTAAATTGATGTGAAAATATGATTAGTATGTGAGTAGTAAAGAAGTTACAGCAATAGTTTTAATATGGCGCCTTTTACATAGGTATACATAATAAGTTTGTGCTCAGATTATTTTATAGTGCTTTTTCTGCTCTGTAGAAGTAGGTAGCTACGCTCTGCATATTCAAATTTGCTGGATAAATAAATACTAGAATTAAGTTGGTCATACAATCAACTAATGAAAGGGTGATTATTTTTTTAAATTTTATTGTATTGAACATTCCAAATAATTTATTTAAGATGAATCCAATTGACCAAGGAGATCAAGATTAAGATTTTGAAGGCAAAACATTTTGTATAAATTGATTTACACCCTCGATATAACGCTGATGTTGCTAATCTGAATCTTTATGGCACTTGGTGACAAGCCTTGCCTCTGTATTGCCTCTGAGAGACCAAACCCTTTAAATATATAATAAAACAAATATTTGCCGAATCGGTCAGCCATTTTCGAGTTCTAGCGAGACTACCGAATAGCAGTTCATTTTTATATAAATATATAGAAGATTTAGTAACGACCTCTGAACGATATCGACACGACATTCATAAGTCGTTTACTATAAACAGTCTCGCCCCTGTTCTGTTCGTGACATTATACCGTTTTTGGGAAAAGCAAGAATTTTCTCGGCTCCAACAAAATGGCCGCCTTGAACTTAATATTTTTTATACGCAGTTGATATTTTATAATAGCCTTCCGTATTCGAGTTATTAATAACAAGGATACAAGTCTTCTTTGTCCCTTCGTGGAGAACTGCCTGATTTTGGCATCGAATCTGTAAAGGTAAACTCTATGGCCTGTTTCACTATTGTTGACTAACCTAACCTTACTGAAATTATCATCAAATATGTCTTCACAAGATTCACACATATGATTCAAACTTACTCGTTGTGGAAATCGAACCCTCTAAACTTTGTTAAGCAGCCATCAATCCAGCCACTATGTCTACCTCAGCGTACGGCGCGTCGCGTCCCGCGCGTGCCTCAAAGAGCCATCAGACCACCATAGATAGAGCCTAATTTGGGTGATGTCGATACGGAGCCCCGGATAACTTAATAGGTTTTTTTTTAAGGGGGGAAAATCATCGAATGACGTCTCCCGCCTGGGTGAGGCGGAAGGGTGTGTCAGACTCTTACTGACTAAAAAAGTAGGTACGGGGTGGTTTTTAGTCAGTAAGAGTCTGGACACTCTCTCTTGCCTCATCCGGGCGAGAGAAGTCATTGGATGATTTTCGCACCACAAAATAAAAAAATGCCACTATGTCCACCGACACCGATATTAATCAAATTTTTTTGTTAATGTAGACGTTTAATATAGGTCCTAATGAATTTCAGTTAAAAGCATTACCTACATATATTAATCCCGTTGGATGGAAATCGTTTATTAATTTTAGCTGTTAGTCTATCTCAGTTCAAAACTACACACTGTAAAGTATGATATCACAAATAGGTGCACTCCATACATTACGTGCTTGAACGTAATAATACAAGTGAGGAGGAGTGATGGACTATTAGAGTTAAGGGATCTTGAAGAGGGAGTATTTATAGCCGCCCTGTTCTTAATATTGATCATTGTGTTTATTTATGATATTGCCGTAACGTACTAAAATACTGCTACCTTGGTTAAAACTTTACCAAGAATTGTATTGTGAACTAGCTTCTGCCCGCAACTTCGTACGCAATCCCGTTTTCTCCCATTCCCGTAGAATTTTCAGGACTTTTTTCTGTCATAAGAACCTTATCCTGACATTAATAAACACAACAAAAAAGAAATCTGCCAAATCGGTCTAGCCGTTCTCAATGCGTGACAACAGGAAACGGGTTTCATTTATATATATATACTAGCGGACCCTACAGACGTTGTCCTGCATATCCACTTGAACATATAAAGAAAAATTCATTCAAAAGATAGATCTGATTGAAAAAGAGTATCTAACCAATAGAATTTCTTTCTCGTTCTTCTCCATAGTAATTAATCTACACTTTGGAACGAGTAAATAGCTTCACTACAGAATAGACCGTCAGACTAATATTTTTAATATTTTGTTTGATGTTCAAAAGTGCCGTCTTGATCTAAATAGATAGATAGATAGAAGATAAAATGATTTTGACTTAATTTGACTTTAATTTTCGCAAGTGCTACTACCGAGTAAGAGATTCTCAATGTTTCTAAGGTAAAAGTTAGGGCAAAGTACATTATTATAGAGGATTTTTCTAGAATGATGCTCTACCTACAGTGCATGCACTTTTCGTTTTATTTTTGATGACACATTAGTAGTAGTAGAGTCAGGTGTGGTGTGACCAATCTTAAATTGTGTTATTGACACATTATTTAGACGAAGTTGCCTATGTCCTAAAATTGCGCTCAGTCACCGAAAGATGGGCAGTAGCATCCTTTAAATTTTCGGTGGCTTAACTGAAATCTTCAAGCCGTCTGCCAAGTATGGGGATCAATGAGAAATCCACCAATTCCATGTTATGATGGTCATCAGTAGATGACACATATTATATGTCATTTTCTGCTCGTAACGCACCGGTGGTCATCAAATTTCGCTTTTCCTTGTCCTTCTTTGAATTAAGGGAAGTACATTCGTTATTTTTCCTTTTTAGGCGTTTATTTCTACATGAACTAACGTGACTTTCTACCATCAGTAGTTTTAACTGTATTAGGTCTGTCGGTGACTTATATTAAAGGAATAGTTTTGATTGGTGGTTTCAAATAGTTTCTTGCACTGGTGTTATGGGTGTCAACGCAATTGTAACTCATCTAGTGTTGCGGGTGTCTATGGAAGATGCTGATTACTTATTATCTGGTCATTAATCCATTCATCTATTGCCGCTTATTCCATAAATATATGTGACTTAAAAATATTTTCTAGGTACTCGTTTGTGAGTAGCATTGGTGCTTTAATAGTGACAGTAGTATTATCTAGTGATAGTAAACTATCCTGTTTATCTATATCTAACTAGACATTATAATCAACATGTCCAATGATGTCTAAATTAATCAGCAATTTGTCAAAATCATTAGTTACGTAAGACAGTAAAT